CGAAGACCAAAGGAAGAAGTCCGCCGGGTAAGTGTTGACAATAGTGGAGAATATACAGCCGCGTTTGGGTTTTTCCGTGTATGGGTTTGTGCTCGTGTGGTCGAAAGGACAACCTATAATAGTTCGTGCAGGACTCTCTTGTACTTGCACGGACGAGTGGTGGGTTGCCAACGGGTGGTTGGCTAGATGTAAGCGATGTACCTAGTGGGCACAGCAGTAGTCATGTTACCGAAAAAAACGATGAACGTGAACCTCGTGTTGCCAGCAGCACTGTTTTTGAGTGTACTGTCGCGGAATCTATCGGAGCACTTGCGTGAACCTGGTCGCTGAATGCCCTGTGTCTGTTCGCTTGTCATCGTGTCGGGTCTTTGTTTTTTCTGATTACGGTGTGTCTGTTCATTTTAGTTGTTTCCTGCGTGTTTTTTTTTCATTTCTTTTCCGTGTCCTGTCGCTGTCCATGTTGCCCCCTCCTTCGATACACGCAGCGGAGGACAAGATGGACGCTGTCATGGCCCTGATACATCCGGCCTATCGCCTACAATACCACCGTCGGACCTACGGCGACGACGCGTACCAGGTCATGCTGCCTGTGCCGTCCACGCTGGAGGAAGATGACACGCTCCTACCTCCTTTCTGGGTGGCTGGTCAGGCTGGCGCTCCGAAAAAAAATCCGGGCCGAAGAAGTACAAGAGGATCCCTGGGCGCGGGGACAAGAACGCGTCGTCGTCGTTCAACAGGCGAGTTTCTGAACTCGGCCCGACTGCATCCGGAAGCACGGCGGCCCCCTCTCTGTCGCAGGGGGGTGCCACGGCGGCTCCCTCTCTGTCGCAGGGGGGTGCCACGGCGGCTCCCTCTCTGTCGCAGAGGAGTGCCACGGCGGCTCCCTCTTCGTCACAGGGGGGGCGTGCGGGCGGATCGGTCATTGTCGGGGGGATGGTGATCAACTTGGCACGCTGAGTGCCGGCCGCCGAATGACGATGTGTGTGTTGCCGTTTTTGTCCGTGTTATGTACTCCGTGATGTTTTCTTTTCGTGCCAACCCTGTCCAGTGAAGAATCGGGGATCGCGGGCCTTGACACTCGTCCACCCAACGACCAAATGGGTGATGGCTATAGTGAATAATGGTGGGCAGGGAGGTTTTATTTCTTTTGCGCTTTCGTCTTTCTTTCGCTGTCGTGTTCCCTGCGGTATGTTGGCTAAGTTTGGCATGCATGGCGTACGAAAATGTGCTGACCCTTCCGCTTTGATTGTGCATCATTGATTTGGATTGTGCATCGTTGATTTGGAGCACACACCCTCTGCTGAGTAGGAACGTCCGGGTACACGTTGCTGCTACGCAAGGGAAATAAACGAGCGTGTCGTGTTGATATGTAGATGCTGGAAGAGGCCCCTTAATTTTGGTGTGGCATTCGAGGTCCTTTTGGAGTCCTTTTGAGGGGGGGGTGAGGGGGGCGGGGCGGCCACCGCGTTCCTTTGAGAGATACGCGTGTTCTCAAGACCATTTCTTGCTTATTTCCGACTTTTTTCCNCGCAAGGGAAATAAACGAGCGTGTCGTGTTGATATGTAGATGCTGGAAGAGGCCCCTTAATTTTGGTGTGGCATTCGAGGTCCTTTTGGAGTCCTTTTGAGGGGGGGGTGAGGGGGGCGGGGCGGCCACCGCGTTCCTTTGAGAGAGACGCGTGTTCTCAAGACCATTTCTTGTTTATTTCCGACTTTTTTCTCTCTCTCTCTCATGATTCGCATGTTTTTGCGAAAACCGACGCGCAAGTGTTGAATCGAGACGAAGTAATGACTGCTGTGTTTCCACAACGCCAAATTCATACGATGTAGTCTATGACTGAAAGNTCCTTTGAGAGAGACGCGTGTTCTCAAGACCATTTCTTGTTTATTTCCGACTTTTTTCTCTCTCTCTCTCATGATTCGCATGTTTTTGGGAAAACCGACGCGCAAGTGTTGAATCGAGACGAAGTAATGACTGCTGTGTTGCCACAACGCCAAGTTCATACGATGTATGACTGAAAACCTAGTCTGCTAAGGTCATCCATGCATGATGGGTCCTTTTCGGAGGATTCCTGAGAGAGGAACACGTGAACGCAGCATGCGTCAAACACCTTGTCTGTATGGACTCTTTATCTGTACGTTCATTGAGGAAACGAATCATTTTATCTTGAAAGATGACAGCTACCTCGATACTACACCACGATCATTCCGGGCCCCTCTCCTACAGGGGGTCGAACTCGCTCGATCCGCGAGTTAGCTCGCTGTGGTGCTCGTACATCGGGTAAGGACAGATAAACAAAACGGGCACGACCTGCCTCATGCTTGCGAGGCACAGCAGCAGCACAGCAGAGCACGGCGGTTGGTTTTTCGCCGCGATCTACGGAGGAGGCTGTCGGAGATTGGTACCACCCTGCTGTGTGTGGTGTATGTGCGGTACATGGTGTATCGTGCGGGTATGTGCGGTACACGGGTTGTTCTGCGGGTTTTAGGTCGTCGGGCGCCAGGAAAATATGACCATTTCTGGGTACAAAATTGACCACTTCCGGGTACACCAGTAACCAATATCGGTACTCCAGAGCGTCCTATTGCCAGCAACAGACAGTTGTACCCGATGGGGTTTTCTCCCAAAATGGGAACGATGGTTTTTCGGCCAATCAGCTGACAGCCTGGGGGTGCAAACGTCTTGATTTCTAAGTGTACCCGAAAGTGGTGATAAAGTACCCAGGTATACCCGTTTCTGGCTATTGGTCTTCAAAAATCATTGTGCGGGCCTCCCTGGTCTGCTGCAGGTGTGTGTCTCGCACACGCCCTGCTCCGGTCTGAGCAGTCGGATGGAGCGCCCTGCCCTGTTTGTTGGCGACGCTGAGGAAGGGGAGGCAACCCTCAAAGAATCCGAGGTAAGCTTCGGGAGGCAGAAGGGGGTCCTGTTGTCTGCTCTTTGGGCGGGTGAAAATATAGAGAACAAGTGTAGTAAACACTAAATTCTCCAAAGATCTGCCGTTTAGTGTAAGCATGTGGGTGTGGTGTGGGGCGCCTGGGCAGACGAGCAGTAACGCGTCAAGGTGGCCAAGACGTCTGGGAAGTTGACTCTAGCCAAAAGGATGAGCGTGGCGGTCGTCGTTTTCATAAGTTCAAGCGGTAGCTATCAGATTCCATGATGCCGTGCGTATGAAGAGGCTTCTGGTCCTCGTCGATCAGTCGCACAGCTTTCTCGAAGACGAGTATTGGGGATCCGCCGATGTATCCGCTGGACATGCCGTGGACCTCTTTCTTGCCTGGACCCGCGACTCCCGAACCTCCGCACGCTGACTGATACGGCAACAAGTGTTTCAATCTCGGGCCCTCGAAACAAAAGCAGGGTCATCAGTTTACCAAAGAGGGACGTGGCAAGCCTCTTTTCACTTGACCGTTGACCCCATGTTGACAGCACACAATTCTGCCGTTGACATCCAGCATCGCACATTGGTCCACCACACTACAAGTACCTATCCAAGGAGCGTGCCCTGCGTTTTACAACCATGTTTGCTTTTGTTTCCCCTCTGAGCGCATCTGTGCTCTGTCTCCGTCTCTCCGCCTCTCTTCACCACCACCCTCACTAGGGCCGGCGGTCCGATGATCGAGGGCCAGAACTCTGTAATATTTTATGCTGTTTGTTTATTTGCTTGAATACTTCTCTGTGTACTTGTTTTTTACAACAAGGGTGCGTTCTGCTGTGGGTAAAATCCGCCGTGCCTCCTGTTGCACCTACATGCATACACATCGGCCAGACGAGGCGTGACAAGCCGGTTTTAAGTCTCTTATATCCTCGTTTTGTTCTGAATAATCTCGTATTGTTGTTGTTTTCTTCACATTTAACTCGCGTCAGTTGCTAATCCCAAAATCTAGCAAAGACTCGGTCCGTCGTCACAATAATGCTAAGCCATCAGAAGATCTAAAGAACACACTCACTATTAGCAACAAAAGGGTACGCAAGCCCGAGGAGGTACACCTGCAATCCCTGCAGCACGTTTTCGTGCTCACAACTGAACTACACGCCCACACACTACAATTCGACTACAGCAGCAGCATCACCCCCCTTGTCCCGCATTTAACCAAAATGAATGTTTGTCTGAAGAGCTGTCTGAATAATAATAACACCATGATGCATGGCACACAAGCTCGGGGCATGCAGCTGCTGTCTGAAGTGCTGTCAGGATGAGCCCGTGGACATCCAATCGAGAAAAACAACCAACCAAAGCCATCATTGCAACTGACAATCACCCGAATCTATCCAGATCATCTGTGTTAGGCACAGCAGTGTAAACATCGACTTAGACTAGGAATCGTTCCACACTGATNGCATGGCACACAAGCTCGGGGCATGCAGCTGCTGTCTGAAGTGCTGTCAGGATGAGCCCGTGGACATCCAATCGAGAAAAACAACCAACCAAAGCCATCATTGCAACTGACAATCACCCGAATCTATCCAGATCATCTGTGTTAGGCACAGCAGTGTAAACATCGACTTAGACTAGGAATCGTTCCACACTGATGGGGTCTTCCACGATGCAGGTACACAATTAAGGCACCCGGGTTATCCGCGCCATCTCTGCCGCGTCTCCCTACAAAACCAGTGGCGTCATCGCACACACCCAACACCTATATTCAAGAAAAAAACGGGAAAAAATTGACAACACAAGAGATGTTTGTCCGTGCGCCACGGTTCGATGCCGTCCGCATGCTCCAGTTCCGCTGCTCCGGTTACGCTTCTCCAGTGCCGCTGCTCCGGTGCCGCTTCTCCGGTGCCGCTGTGGCCAGTCCTAGCACGACCAAACTCGAACCGCTCCGCTTCGTACACGCTCTCGTTGCTGTCCTTCCCAGTCGGTTCCTCGCTTTCTCCCTCGTTGCACTTAGGGTTCTTGGCCTGAAAATTCTCGCGCCGAAGGGTCAACCAGCCCAATCNTCGCGGCGGGTGCGCCGCAGCAAGAAGGTATCGGTCCCTTGAGGGTGAGTCTAGCCCGCTCGCTAGAAAGACCCCCACCNTGATGGCAAAACCAGGTTACTGAGACAGTACAGCTCCCTCTAGCAAACCTAGGGCCGTGTACATAGTGCCCGTCCACCTTTCTGATGACGTCTGCCTCCGCGCACAAAGATGAGATGGGCATTGCTGCCTACACCGACGGCCTGGAGGCCCGCGCATCTGCACCTTTGTACCTGACGCACCAGTGCGGACTCAACTCCACCACTACGCAAGCCTCGCGGCGGGTGCGCCGCAGCAAGAAGGTATCGGTCCCTTGAGGGTGAGTCTAGCCC